AAAAAAAAATTTTTAATCCACCCCTGCTGTTTACTAAAACCCGAGCATATCAGTGCATCACAGCCAAAACCAGTTTAACAGTTTATTGCTAATCATACGGAGAACATATGTTTCCTCCCGCAGCCTCATGCACACTTCAGTGCCAAACTTTTGTTCTTTGTTTAACCTTGCCCTAAAGGTTGTCTGACTGTTTTTGTTATAGTACAAGTGCTGGTTTAGGTAGTGTGATATCCTGTCTCTGCAGGCTCACTGGCACCAGATGGTCCATATGTGCATATGTGTGTAGATTACTTACTGACTTTAGCTTGACACCTTTTTCTGTGTTTTTCCCCTATTAGATACAATCTGTTTGGGTGAGAGTGCAGGTTCATTTCAAAAGTACTTTTGCTGTTGTGACTCACTTACAGTACACCCACTTCTTTCCAGACTCTCCATTCTGACATGAAATCCCACATTAATTAAAAGCTCCTGGAGTTAACTTTCTTTTATCATATTTTACTGACATCCCTATTATCCATTTAAGCTAATAGGTATTCTCAGGGGGGGATTCAAACTGAAAACAACAATGCATTAGAACAGCACATGGGGCTGTGGTGGTGGCGGTGGGGTGTTGTTTAAGAAGCCAGTGAGACGATAAAATGCAATGCAGGAAATCCAGAAGGAGTATAGGAGATTAATGCATTTATGAGCTTATTGAACACCCAAACTCAATGAACACCTGCTCTGTAGCTACACGTTTCATTTGTTCATCCATTACTGTAATGACTGTAAGGTAGTAGTACCCATTCTAGCGGGGCGATCGTGGCTCAAGAGTTAGCAGCTCATCTTGTAATCGGAAGGTTGCCGATTCGAGCCCCGGCTCCAACAGTCTTGGTCGTTGTGTCCTTGGGCAAGACACTTCACCCGTTGCCTACTGGTGGTGGTCAGAGGGCCCGGTGGCGCCGGTAATCGGCTCTGTCAGTGCGCCTCAGGGCAGCTGTGGCTACAATGTAGCTTGCTGTCACCAGTGTGTGAATGGGTGGATGACTGAATGTAGTGTAAAGTGCTTTGGGGTCCTTAGGGACTAAGTAAATACAAATACAGGCCATTTACCATTCTGTTTTTATGTCACACTGGGAACTTTTTAGATGGACAGCTAGGGTGGTAGCCCAGATCAGCGACAAGCAGAGTCTTATTTAGGATACAAGCCTGGAAAGGGAGTTTTTCTTTAAATAAGATACTCATGGGACCTAGGTATGACTAAACTCAAATATGTGAGGAAAGGCATAAACAATTATGACACCTGAACTTGAAGCAGTTTCAGAACAATCGGTTAGATATTGTCTACTTTGTTCTTTTTCCCATATAGCACACAGCATGAGATGGTTCACTTCCCCAAAAGGAACCGGCCCAATGAGCTGAATGACTTCCGACTGGTGGCACTGACGTCACATCTTATGAAGACTCTTCCTCAACCTCCTCTGACCACAGGTACAACATGCCCAGGACCCACTACAGTTCGCATACAAGGCGGATGTCGGAGTGGAGGATGCCATCCTGTACCTCCTACACAGAGCCCACTCACACCTGGATGGGGGAAAAGGCACGGTCAGGATCCTGTTTCTTGACTTTCCAGTGCCTTTAATACCATCCGGCCCTGTCTGCTTCAGGAAAAACTGAACAGGATGGAGGTGGACCCCTGCCTGGTCGCTTGGATCTCCGACTACCTCACCGACAGGCCACAGTACGTCAGGCTGAAGGACATCACGTCTGACACTGTGGTCAGCAGCACAGGAGCACCACAGGGAACTGTGCTGTCCCCTCTTCTCTCCACCCTGTACACCTCTGACTTCTGCTACAACTCTGAATTATGCCATATTCAGAAGTTTGCAGATGACACAGCCATCATGGGGTATATCTGGGATGATCAGGAAGAGGAGTACAAAAGTCTGGTGAGGAACTTTGTCGCATGGAGTCACACAAACCACCTGCAACTCAACACCTCAAAGACTAAGGAACTGGTTGGGGTCCAGAGAAGGTCCACTGCTGGTTCAGATAGAGGGGGAGGAGGTGGAGGTGGTCAACAAGTACAAGTACCTCGGGCTGTGGGTGGACAATAAAATGGACTGGTCATGCAACACAGAGCACCTGTATAAAAAAGCCGAAAGCTGACTGTACTTCCTCAGGAGGCTGAGGTCTTTTAACATCTGCAGGAAGCTCCTGAGGATGTTTTACCAGTCAGTGGTTGCTGGAGTACTTTTCTATGCTGTGGTGTGCTGGGTTAGCAGCACAGCAAAGAAGGACTCATCCAGGCTGGAAAAACTGATCAGGAAGGCTAGCTCTGTGGTCGGCATGAAGCTGGACACTCTGGTGACAGTGGCAGAGAAAAGGACACTAAAGAAACTGCTGGACATTATGGACAATGCTGGGCATCCTCTGCACACGGCCATAAACAACCAGAAGACATGTGATGCCCACTCAGAGGCTAAGAATTTACCTGAAAGCTATCTGGGCTTACTGTCACATGGCTATAAATCATGTGGACTTTGTATTTGGAGCATTCCAGGTACAAGTTTTGGGCTGCAGTTCATATGTAAACACACTTATACAGTACTGTAACTACGAAGGTAACACTATAAGGTTCAAAGTGCTGTAAGATTTTTAAACAAAAATTCAAAACTGAATATTTGGTGTGATTTAATTTATCTTTAACATAACAACACTAACTGTAGATAAAACTTTGCACAGTTTATAATGTAACTTGTTTAAAGCATCTTTTAAAAACTTGCCACATTTGTAGATGCTGAAATATCACTGCAGATACTTAGCATGCTTGTAAACCATCAAAGTTGTGTTAACAGCATAATGCATTTCTTTCAGTTCTGGGTGCAGTTTTCACTTTACCATCAAGCTCTCGTACTTTTGTGCAATAAAAATAAAAAATTATGTTCATATAGGTGGTGTAGACTGCACCACCTTTTTCCTCCTCTGGCACACGAACTAAAATCAGCTAATTGTAGAGCAAGTGCAAGTGGAACCGATAAACGAGATCGATAGGCAAGCAGACCAACAATTCCAAAGGAACTGAACTGGTTCTTTACAAGAACCAGTACTCATTCCCCATTCCTACCAGCATGGTGGTGGAGAGATGATGATTTGAGTTTGTTTTGCAGCTACACCACTTTTCAGTCATTGACTCAAAATCCACACAATGATGTGACAGCCTCATAAAGTTATACAGAAAATGATTACCTCAAGTTATTGGAGGTAAGGGGAGTTCTATAAGCTACTGAATCATGGAGCGTACCTAAGGTTTCCATACACTGCTTCTGCATTGTGGCTTAGTTTTTTACAGAAATGGTGTCACAGTAAAATATGGTATGTTTTGTAGTTCATTCACCGAAGAACCAGATGACTTTCATTATGTCCTGATATGTAAAATCTTAGAAATGAAAGAGGGTGTACTTTCTTTTAACCATGACTATAAATATCTAAAGAGGCTTAAACCTTTGTGCAGCACTGTGCCTCCACAGGACATCACTTAGATAGTAAAATGCTTCACAGTGGTAAGGCACAGGGGTTGGAAAGTTACCCTGAACTGCTGAAGGCTCTGGTTATTGTTGGGTTGTCATGGTTTCTTTGATGGTGCAGTGCTTTACAGTTTAAAAAGTGAACTGGAGGGAGTGCTCGATTATGTCACACTGTTCAGCCTTTCTACAAGCACATGAATGCTGGAGTGGAGGCTCCAACTGATTATCAAACTAGAGACACATTTTCTTTCTTTCTTTCTGTTTTTTCTGTTTCCTTACCACCACAAGATTTTCACTTTTAAGTCGTGTGCTACTTTTTTTCAACACGCTAGTTCTATAATTTACTTTTTTTTCTTGAATTACTATATTTTGAATTCTGTTCTTGTATTCTACCAACAAAATAAAGTTTCTATACATCCCACGGAAGTACTTTTGATGCTATTGTATATAAATATAATGTGATTTAACAAATAACACATGCATTTTAAGTTATTACCATAATTTTGATTTAGAAAATAGCATATCATTCACATTAAAAAAATAATTACATTCATACCTTTATCATACATTGAGATGCATAACATTTGCATCAGGCAATGTTAACAACCTCCTTAGGGACAGACAAGTGAAACCTGTGTAATTTAAACTTCTTGCATCTTCAGCCTGCTGTTCCTTTGACATTCAGAAAAAGGGCGTGAATGCATTTTTTTAAAAACTGCTCTAAATTAAATAAATTCCGCTGTAAGAAAAATATGCTGTGGATCCTATCGAAATGGTGTGTGTGTGTGTGTGTGTGTGTGGGGGGGGGGGGGGGGGGGGGGGGGTGAAACAGGCAGTGCATGCAATAAAAGCCTCAAGCATCTTCCAACTGAAGGAATTTTACGCTGAGGAATGGTCAAATATTTCAGCAAGCTGATGTCAGAGACTGATGTACTATTATGCAAAACGCCTACAAGAAGTTATTTCTGCTAAAGGGAGCCAGATAAGCTTCTGAGGCTAAAGGTGTACTTACTTTCCCCACGGAAGCATGTAACATCTGTTAATATTTTTATTGATTAAATGATTGAAAAAGGTAATGTTCCTCCTTTACCTGACAGCAGTGTTTCACTTAGAAACAAAAGCTAGCAATTTCCAAGGGATGTTTTCAAGATATCCACACGTGGGAAAATTGGTCCCCTTGATTTTGGACTCTCTTAAAATTGATGGTAGCGATATCACTGTACAACTGTACAGTGTGTAGAATCAAGAAATGTCCCTGTGCTGGTAAGATGTCAGAATAGATGTCTGTTATTCTGAATAGGACATAAGTCAAGCACGCCACATATGTTACTGCAGATTATGTATATAATTATTACGAGCATTATCATATTATTATTTGGTTCTTCCCCTGCCTGAGCATCAGTCTTAATCACATTATAACAACACTTGTGCTGTTCATGAAATGTAGTCAGTGGTGGAGGATGGGTGGGTGACTGAGCAGGTGGGTCTTGCCTTCTTTCCATTCCCCGTGGTACTCCTCGCCGTTGGAGTAAGTAAAGGATCCTCGTGTCAGGGTCATGGGTCCTGCTGCCACACATGACACAAGGAAACATTATCAGGAGCTTTGCAACTGTAGTTTTGGCATTCTGATACACACTGAGCTGGGAGTTTATTAAATAATACTACCACCTCTCAGTCTACCATGGGTTAATTGCTAGCATTTGAATACTGCAGCCAGCCTGCAGGGTAATCAAACTCAGATTATGCAGGCAGGAAAACTACACATGCACAACTGCCCCCACTATTAGAAACCTGCCCAATGCTCAATCACTGCTGGCTAAAAATCTGTGGAAACCTTAACTTTACACTCTTATGTAAATAATGAACATCTGATTTCAACCCCCCCCCCCCGTATTAATCTGCTACCATAAGAGCTTTTGTTATTCTGGCATCATGTTTTCCATCAGACTTTGGAATTTGATTAAGATAAGATAAGATAAGATAAGATAAGATAAGATAACCTTTATTAGTCCCACACGTGGGAAATTTGTTTTGTCACAGCAGGAAGTGGACAGTGCAAAAGTTATGAGGCAAAAATTAGGATACAATAAGAATAAATACAGTACACAACTGTACAGGATAGAATAAATAAAATACTATATACACATATACTATATACTATATACACTATATACAGATTACAGGTTTTACAGAAGTTAATTAGTTTTACTAAAATCTCACATTCTTTGAATGTCACGTATATCTCATATAGTTTCTAAAGTTGAGGCTGGGGTAAACCAGACCATCTTTTCTACACCATGTTTCTCTTTTTGGGACACACAGCTGTTTGAAAGCAGACAGTTTCTGCATGTTTTTCTTCAATCTATAACAACAAAAAATCTTTATTGCACTTACCTGCCTTAAGGTTTTATAAGAAACAATGGTTGCAACTGGTTTCACAAGATCATACATGCCACAAGTGTTTTTCTCTCTATACATTCTAAATACTTGGGGGTCAGGTGGTCACCATGTGGAAAGAGGTGTCCACTGTCTTCATCTCAAACAACTTGGTACAGGATGTTTCCTTAAATATGAGATTTCCATGCGAGATGACAAAAGTGTTATTTTTGCTAAACATGTTTGATACATTAACTCACACTGCACATTTTGTGGCTTCTCTGCTTACACTGTGTGGGTTAACTGATGGTTACCGCTTAGAGATCTAAAGTAAATGTAAGTTCCGAAATCCTGAACAAGACTATAGTTGTACAATAGGCTAATTTGCTGTTAAAAGTGACCGGTTATATCAGCTGTTATACTCTGTTACCTGTTATATACCTGTTATATTTTTGGATTTCTTTGCTGTGATAAGAGGTATTATTTGTCTACTGGTAGTGTTTAATGTAGCTATATTATTATAACTCTAATTTTACTCAAACACTACTACACGGCTGTGTTTATTGTGGTTCTCAGTGGCATGCTATTTTCTTTTTGCTGCTTCAAAATGAGTATGTAGACAAACGGCCGCTGAAAGGAGCATCAAAGAAACATTTGGGCGACTCCATAAAAGAGAAAACACCCAAGGTCCGTTTATTAAGCAAAACAGGCTAATTGTTCAATGCCAACAGGCAGCTGTCAGCAGGCGGGAGGAGGTGTGCGTATCCCTCCATCTAATGTTGCCACAGTAACGGCGCCCTAATCCCTTTCATCCTGCCGGCATGACGCTGTCAGCCTCCAAAACACACACGCATTCACACGGGGAGCGGGCCTGGAGACAAAAAAAATAAAAATTTTACCTGTTTTATTTAAGAGTAGCTCAGCCTCTTTTCTCTACATCGCTGAAAACAAGAGAGCAGTAGGAGGATAGCGACTATTTAGCCTTTTTTTTCGTAGCTGTTTGTTTCCTGGTAGAGCTGCCTCAGCGTCGCTCTAAAGCACCGCTATACGATTGGCTACCTTTGTGTCACCTCGACTCAACGTGTCCTTTTATTGGTTGCTCTTCTGCTCCGGCCAGCCCTCAGCAGGAGACATCTTTGTCGAGGGCAACGGGTTCAACGACTTAATTAGCCGGAGTGCTGCTCCGTTAAAGCATTTGCCCTTGTCGGTTTTTTATGTGCTGCCCGGCGTCTCTGTAGGATTATAAAACGGCAGCGGGGTTCTCCTTAATGATACCCTGTCATTTCATGTTTCAATTTGGTTATTAGACCCGCGTTTTGGCAAGTTTTATGGGACTTGATTTATTGTTTTCTTTATGCCTTAAAACAGCTGCGCTAGGTGACGAGGGTTTGCTAAATGAGGTGATGTAGATTCAAAGCTAATAAGAAGAAGAAAAGAAAAACAATCAAGGTGACCCAAATGAAGCAAAACTCCGCTAACCTCATTTTCGATTCCCTGAGGGGAAACCGGGGCTAGGATTAACCCGCTATTGAATATTAATTAGTCATGGCCAACAATGAAGCACGTGTGATTAGAAACTGATTATCATTTATCAATATTAGCCTAATAGAATAAAGAATACAATTATCAAGCCTTCAAACTCTAGACAAATAATGTAGAGCCAAACATGTGTTTTGGGTATATGAAGCTGTTATGGCTATAGAAGGGAAATGGAAGAGCCCAATTTATATTCTGCACAAAGTGTGAGATGAAATTTGTTCTGAAATTTTGGTCAATTTCTGCACAATTTAGACAAGTTAGAGAGACAGGGCAATAGACTTGCCTTAATCTCAGAAGCATGAAGTACACAGTGCCTGTTAAGATACAGACTAATTCAAACTGTGCATAAACAAGGTGCACACTTATATCTTATTTGCATTAATAGGATACCATGTATTTAATGTAGTAAACCTGACTGTGAATTTTTTAAATTCCCTTCACTGACCACTTACTGGTTTTCTGACATTATAAATTAATACATTACATTCTTTTTTTCTTCAGAGTGACACAAAAAGTGGTGGACAAGATTTTAGAATCTTCTGCTATTTCTATCAGCTTTTGTTTTGGAGATGAAGACAGGCGTTAAGTGTCTAAGTTGGAGAAATAAATGATGTGAGTGAAAAATGAATGCATTTGTCATAAGGACAACAAGATAGAAAGCGTAATGAGCCTGTGGAAAATTACATAAATGCTTGAATCAAATGCTGTCTTGAAAAAAAAGATCATATTAACTTTGGATCATTGACTCAGCTCTTACAAATTCAGCAAGAAAGACTGAGCATGGCCAAGTGTTTGGCAGTATGTGTATGGTTTGTATTTTGTGTGTTTTTTCCCCCTGTCATACAGCATCGGTCCAAAATGCAGCTAACAAAGCGATATTTTGACTCACTTTTGCCTCTGAGCTCGGGTGTTTTGGTGGGAAATAAGCTTTCATTTAAATGAGATTAGTCAGATTTTCAAAATAGTACTGATATCAACATTTTAATACATGTAACTTTCTAATATCCCACAGTTCTTTGCATAATTTACTGCAGTCTGGTAGTTGTCAATTAATTAATTAATTAATATTTATATCTTGAAACAATTATGATACATTTTTTGGGGCCCAGGGAACTTTTAGACTCATTAGTAGATCTGAAGTCTTTGCTCCATCTTACAGAGAACATGAAAAATGCGCTCAAGTTGCAGTAGATGGGTAGGAATAGGCTAATGGTTGAGCCTTTATTAATTTAAGACCACTTAGTAGACTAACAAAAGGCAATACTATCCTTTAAAAGAGAAGTTATAGTAATGAATTAATTAGCTGTATCCTATGAACGTTTAATGTGTAACCTCAATGTTTGACTTGGCGCTAGATGGCCTGAAAGTTCCTTACAGGCACCTTACGGTCTCGTCCCACCAATGCGCTTATAGATGCCTTCAAAAAATAATACTGTATAAGTTTGTTTTTTCCTAAATAACTTCTCTTCTTACCCGTGATAACCCCGTTCCCCGTGTACCGGGGCAGCTGTACGTGTCTCACATCTGTTGATTGAAACAATGCGCATTTTGAAACCCTTTGACACACGTCGCTGTAAGCTATGGCAAATTTGGAGCGCAGGCGCCATGTGCTATAGGCTACTCCACACATTTCATTAAACGGCCAGTGCCAGCAGCACACCCTCGCGCAGAGAGATGCTGGGAGGGATGGGAGGGGGCGCTTTTGGTGGGTGGGACATATGAGCGCTATAGAAAGGGGGATGCTGCAGCCCCGTCCCCCTCATATCGCTCTCCACCCAGCCCTAGAATAAAAACCACCGGTGACGTGCGCGCAGGGAAGCACCCAGCAGTATGTGCGCGCCCACGGGAGGGGCCGATAGAAAATGGCGAGTCTGTGCAAAAGGCAGCAATGCACGATAGAGAGGCGCGGCTTTCGGCAGGAACTTGACTCTTGGAGGCACAAACTCATTCACTGTGTAGGTAAGCTCGCTTGGCATTGTGTGTGTGCGTGTGTGTGCCGCGGGTGCCGGGAACTGTATGTTTTCGTTTTGGCTGAAGTGTGAGGAGCAAAGTGCCGGGTATGTAGGGCCTAATGTCCACTAGTAAGCCTATAGGGTCTTCATGAAGCTGTCATTTTTTTTCTTTGCGCACGGCTGTTGCCTGGCGCTGCCCGCCTCCCACCGGACATATCCAAAAACGATTCAGCTCCAACTTTGAGCCGTGTTGTGGGGCCCTCTGTTCCACCTGCAAACTTGTGTGTGCGGATACTTTGCCTGTTATGAGTCTCTTTAACCGGGCTGTGAGCGCTCCGGGGCCATTTGGAGTCGTTTGAAGTATTATTCTATAGCTGTTTATTTATTGTAAGCAGAAGAAGTCACGTGCGCAGATGGAGCTGCTCTTCGGCCAATCGGCTGCCCCGCTATAGGTTGGCCCGTGCCCGAGTGCGCGGCGCCGGATGAGCTTTTTAATAGGGGAGGGTGGCGCGCGCCCTCAGCCTTCAAACATGACACCCCCCACCCCCACCCCCTCAACTGCCCTGGAAATCGGCTTTTGGGAGCGCGCTTTGCTGCATTGAGGGAAATGTCAGTGGGCATAATTTTGTTTTTAGGGGGGTCGACAGGGACAAACGCCTTAGTGTCCGCCTGTAAATCGGGTTTGAGACTTGTTGAAACGGCGCTCCTGGATGTGGTGGTGGTGGAGAAAGCTCTGTGCTTCAGGTTCGCTGTTTACATTAATAGTTACATTAACATTTTTTTAAATCGTATGATCGCATGTTGTCGCTCCTGCTGGGACAGCGGCAAAATTTAGATCGTATCTTATTGAAGAGCCGATAAAAATCAGTTTGAACCTATTCCCTTCTTTGACTTCGTTTCTTCTTTTATTTTGGATTTCATCGTCTATACATCTCTCCCACCCACCATCCCCTCTCCTGCCCCAGTCGTCCATTTGTGGTGTATTTCATTAGCTCCGTTTAATCCGGTTACATCAACCTTTCCCGATGTTACGGCAAGATTATCATCCCCCTCTTCGCCTCTGATCTTCTAACCTCCGCGGGTTTCCTCGAGTCTCTCTGGTTCCCAATCCGGCTTTTATTGGCGATTTATTAAAAAAAAAAAGAAAAGAAGAATAATAAGCATCACGCACAGCGGCAGCGGTGTTGCTGCTCCAGTTGTTTTTGGATGCGTTTCGGTGTCCAGATGTTGAGCGTTGACCTGTCACCTACTTACCCGTTCGAGCGCTTTTTAATAGCCTGGCCTGATTCCGAGCAGGCTCTTGGTGCCTTTTAGTGAGAAAAGGTCAAACCGAAGGAGTGCAGCTAGCGGTAAATTAAAAGGCTGGCTAATCTCTGACCTTCAGCTGATGTGTTCGGCGTAAAGCCATAAAGTATCACAGTAAACAGCAGGAAAGAAAAAGCAGAAACAAGACTTGGTTTGCTTTCCATTTGAACTTGGATTTCTCACTGACTTCATGTGTAGCTTTTACTCACAAACTGACTTTCAAAGTTCACACAGTAGGACTGGATTTTATTTATTTGGTTTTGGTGGCCCTTTTACTTTGTATAATGTATAACATTACTGGTTCTGTGGGTTTGGGGATGGTTTTGTCCCCACCCCACTAAGTGTAACACAGTTTGGGGGGGGGGGGGGGGTGCTTGCAGTTACTTATAATGAAAAGATTTGTGTAACCTATAAAAAACTGGAAAAAAGGCAGTGCAGATAATTCAGTAAGGATTATATAAGGCGCTGTAGGAATTCTGTAATGATACTACATTTGATAGGGATACCTTAAGTATGATAAACACCCTGCAAGCTCCTGTGCATCTAGAATCTGTGTAGTAATATCACAGTGATACCACGGGGGACACAGATACCACAAAGCTCAATAATGAACTCACAGCTGGATATTACAGCATGCTTTAGCTCTGTATGCTGTATGTGTGTGTATGTAAGTTCCATATTTCTTCATTTCTGCTTGTTGACATTCACTGGTTTGCAGTGCGTGGTGAGTCGTAGGGCTGGGCCAAGAGGCAGCAGCGGCTTCTCAGCGCTCACATTGAAATCTGCCATGTTCTTATCCATTGTTGAACTATGGGAGGCTGAGAATTAGTTTCAGAAAAATGTGTAAAAGAAAAAAATTAAATCGGGCTACTTTAAATTTATAGCTCGTTAACATTTGGGAGTTGGCACTGTTATTATATTGTGTTTAGATATTAAAATGTTACAGAAAGTGTGAGGTTTTCACACTTTCTGTTTGCCTCAGCAACAGTAAAACTGAAAGGTGCCAAACACTAAATGAAAAGCAGTGACTTTAGTGACTTACGGCAGGGTTTTCCAGCACAGAGGAATGTGCTGCTAGAAACAGAAGAAAAAAAATCAGTAGTGTTGTAATAAAAATCGTTAAACTTGAGTTTCATGTACCCAAGCGTAATCATCAGAAACAACAAGACAAATGCCCAGATTCATAATGTAACACACACTCACTGACTTTACTGTACAACGAACTGCCATGCTTATTGTCATTAAGCCTCTAAGGTGTCATTCTGAACCTGAAAACAAAATCCTGGCTTAAAGGAAACTCAGAACTCTCAACTTGACACCTGAGAAGCCTCCAGGCGTCAGCCTTGTTATAAGGAACGTTTGCCAGCCTGAGAATTTGTACCTTTACGAGGCAGCCTTATTATTAACATATTGTTAACGGTGGCGGGGACATTTGGTTGAAGAGGGTCAGCCAAGAAAGATGGACACCTTACAGTTTATTACATTGCACTGCGACGTGCATGGATGCAACTTGTCGACACAACGATCCTCATCTTTTTACCCTGTGCTGCACTGATAATAAATTAGGGCCTATATGCCATAGAAAGGTTAACATTATGAGTTGGGAGCAAATATAGCCCAACTGCTGATTCCTTTGACACATATTCTGGGGAAGGGAGTGTAGCTAATTTGATTGCTGAAAGGTTGTGCCAGTGCTGGAGAGAGACAGACTGTGTCGGAGATAGAGAGAGAGGTGTGAGTGTGAGTGGCAGATTGCTTTTCCCCCCTTAAATCTTCCAACATTTCTAAGCGCGGTACTGATGGCAGCAGAACAGTTAGTCAGCATAGTTGGTAGTGGTGTACCGATTGTGTCGTTCTGAGCCATTACTGAGGTTCCAAATAACAATTTGGCCAGCACTATTTTTTTGTGGTCATTTTTGATGTAATGTTTTTTCTATATCCTCCTTTCTAATCTACCGATATTGATAATTGATTGCTTTCTTAATTGCTCATACTGATATCAGTCATCAGGGCCAATATTTGTGCATCACTAATATCTAGTTTTTAAACAGTGGCCATTAAAGTAAAAAAAGAATGAGTGATTTCAGACAGGCTTACAACAGGCTTACAGATATACTGTATAAGGAGCACACTTCAGTGAGAGAGTTTGTCTCCTAATATGAACTTTATCAATGCAAAATGTAAGAAAAACTCAAAAAGAGTAAGAGACAACCCAAGGGTGATGTCTGAGTAACCTTTATTTAACCAAGTAAAACCCAATCAAGAGAGGATTGCAGTATAAAACACAAGGCAATCCAAAAGAAACAAGACCAAAAATATTGGTAAAGTATGGAGTAATGTTTGGCAATTTTAAGCTCAAAACAGAAATATTGACAATATTAAGGAAACAAAAAGTGACAGTTCAGCTTTTCCTTTAGGTGAAACCATTGCTGGTTAACATTCTGTGGGTATCTCAGTAGTTCACAGGTCTTTTCCACCTTTAAGTGCTCATCTCTGTCACATGATTTGTAGTCCTTTGAGCTGAGTGTTTCCGAGTAATTTCCTTTTGTTTACTGCTGATTAATGAATGAGTTTGAGGCGAATCGTGCTGATTTTGCAAGAGGATTTGGCAGCATGTGCTATAAAGACAGCAAATGTCTCCTGCAATTACAGTTAAATTGTGATGGGCAAGTTTATCCGTTTTGGTTTAGTGTGTCAATACATGAATAAATCCCAGTGATTTCTATTTATCTATCGTTCTATCACTCTATCTCTCTGCCTTTCCCTTGATTACCCACTGCGCTCCATCCTTGTCTTATCAAGTCAACAAAATCCCTCCATCCCTCAATCACGCCTCCTTCTTCGAGTGGACAGCTTTTATTTCAGTAATGGACAGATGGACGCCCCAAGAGATCTGCCTGCTACTTTCTCATCTTGCTAATTCTTTTCATGGGCTTCCTGAAAAGGAAAACAAAACATGGCACATTTATCCAGAGCTGTTGGGGGAGAGTGGCAGCGGTCCACACGTTTGACCGGACCGGATGCCAACACTGTAAATCTCTACATGCACTCTTCATTATACATGCGTGCGCGCACACACACACACAAACACACACACACACACACACACCCTCTGCCACTGTAGTATATATGTGGAGCTGCCTTAGGGGCTGATCCATGCCAATCAGGAGTCCCGTGGGAGGAGGGCTGCTCTCTTTGGTGGGGGGTTACCATCGGTGGAAAAACAAAATGCTCCACTGGCGCTAAAGAGAGTGTCGACAGAAGGTGCGTATGTGCGTGAGAACCTTTATTTATCCAGAAAACGGTTCAGCGAGCGACGCGCTCTTTTTACAGCGGCGTCCTGCCTCTCGTTCATACACGCCGAACTACCTGAAAGATCCCAGCCACCATCCTTTCTCTTACACGCCTGCGTCTTTTATCCCAGTTTGAGTTTGTTTCCAAGCACCAAAAGTATTTCATCTTGTTGTTGCGGTCTGTTGGAAAGTATGGCAGCTTTCAAGGACAAATTCATTTCACTTCTCAAGAGAGGAGGATGGCAGGTGACTTCCTAAAAAAAAGCCATTTTGCATGGCTGTTGTTGTTGTTGTTATTCTGTTTTTTTTTTTTTTTTAGTCACTTCTTTGTTGTTTTCCTCCCCTGGGATCTTTGGCACAGAAACATAAAGCGATGGGGAGAGACTAATTATTATCTGTGAGTACTGGA